ATCCTCTCACCCACCCATTCTTATATGAGATGTTTGTAGATCTAATTGTGCTAATATTGAGTGACACCCCACAGCACCTTTACTGAGAATCACCGCTCTAAGAAATTTCTACTTGAGGAGGTACATGCTGTTTTTCTAAGCTTAAGACTTGACCAATTTAGGGGAGATTTTCACAAGAACAGCAAAAGCACATGCTGTGTGGGGCACCTTTTGCCTTGTAAGTCCCACTTTCAAAGCAAGGGCCTGTTACAGCTGCTTAATGAAAAGGTTGCAACATTTTTAGTGGGATAATATATTTCCCATACTCATTCTTGGAAACAGCTGAATTGTTTTGGCCAAAACCTTCCCCCAGAAAACTAATTATTCAAAGAGAGTTCCTTAAATAGAAAACTTCAGCCCAAAGAGTCAAAGCTTGACAAATTTATAAGCAAGTGAAAACAATATTGGCAATTATATGAAAACATAGTTCCATCTGCCTCACATCCAGTAAGTACTTCTACTTTCTGGTTGGTTAGTGCAGGACAAACAGGCTACAATTGATTACATTTTACCAAGAAGAGATTATTTGAGTCTTCACAGAGTTCTTTTTGTGCAAAAGACCAGAAGAACCTGTCCCAATATGAGAGAAAGCAAAAACCCAAAACCTGCCTTCTGTATTTCATTAGGGCTCTTGTCTGTGCTTTTTATCAATGGGAACAAGGTTCCTGAATTTCAGCTTCTACATGTGTTAACAGTGAAAGGTCACAGTTAGCAGTCATAGTTTCATAGATGTAGGGTCAGAAGGGACCTAAGTAGATCATCAAGTCTGACCCCCTGCCCTGGGCAGGAATGAATACTGGGCTCATATGACCCCTGGTAGGTTTGACCTCATATGACCCCAGCCAGGTAATTATCAAGCCTCCTCTTAAAGACCCCTAAGGTATGAGCCAGCACCACTTCCCTTGGAAGTTGGTTCCAGATCCTAGCCGCACTGACTGTGAAGTAGTGCCTGCTGATGTCCAGCCTGAACCTACTCTCAAACAACTTATGGCCATTATTCCTTGTTACTCCGGGAGGTGCTTGGGGGAACAGGGTCTCTCCCATTCCCCGCTGGTCCCCCCTGGTAAGTTTATAGATGGTCCCCTCACAGCCTTCTCTTTCGAAGGCTGAACAGGTTCAGGTCCCATAGCCTCTCCTCGTAGGGTCTGCCCTGCTGTCCCCAGATCATGCGAGTGGACCCTCTCGATGCTGGCCATATCCCTCCTAAAGTGTGGTGCCCAGAACTGGACGCGATACTCCAACTGTGGCCTGACCAGTGTGGCATACAGAGGGAGGATCACCTCGTTGGCCCTGCTCGTGATGCATCTGTAGATGCATGACAAGGCGTGGTTAGCTTTACTGACCACATCCTCACATTGGCGTCCATGTTCATTTTGGAATATTGATTCCAAGATCCCTTTCTGTCACTGTGCTTATGAGAAGGGCGTTCCCCAGCATATAGGTATGCTGCTGGTTCTTACTGCCCAACTGCAGTACCCTGCACTTGTCAGTATTGAATCCCATCCTATTCTCATTCGCCCACCCCTGTAACTTGTCCAGGTCCAGTTGTATCCTGTCCCACCCTTCTAGCATGCCCACCTCGCTCCAAATCTTAGTGTCGTCAGAAAATTTGAACAGGGTGCTTTTCACCCCCTCATCCAAATCACTAATAAAGAAATTGAGCAGTACGGGCTCGAGGACCAAGCCCTGGGGGACTTGCCTGCCCACATCCCTCCAGGTCAAATATGACCCATCCACCACCACTCTCTGGGTGCGGCCCCTCAGCCAATTTGTGATCCATCTGACTGTGTAGGCATCAGTGCCACAGTTGCTTAGCTTTCTAATGAGAATGGGGTGGGAGACAATGTCAGAGGCCTTCCTGAAGTCCAGAAAGACTACATCCACTGCAACACCTGCATCCAGTGATTTTGTGACCTGATCGTAGAAGGCAGTCAGGTTGGTTTGACAGGACCTGTCCCTAATGAACCCATGCTGGTTGCCCCTGAGCATCATCCCCCTTGCTGGTCCTTCACAGATGTGTTCCTGGATAATTTTCTCAAAGAACTTCCCCAGGATCGAAGTAAGACTAACAAGCCTATAGTTGCCCGGGTCCTCCCTCCTCCCTTTTTTGAAAATTGGGACCACATTGGCCTTCTTCCAGTCTTCTGGCACCTGGCCAGAGCACCACGAGTGCTCGTAAAGCTGTGCCAGGCGGCCCACGATGACCCCTGCCAATTCCCTCAGCGCCTTGGGGTGGAGAGCATCTGGACCTGCTGATTTGAACACATCTAACCCCTCCAGAAGTTCCCTAACTTGGTCCTCCCTGACCCTAGGCCTGGCGAAGTCTCTCCTGAGTCCATCCTGAATCCCAGTGGGGGAGATGTCCCGGTCCCTGCACAAAAAAAAAATGGAGGCAAAGAATTTGTTAAAAAGGTCTGCCTTTTCCTCTGGTACAACCACCAGATTGCCAAGCGTATCATGCAGGGGCCCCACATTACCTGGTGCCTTCTTCATACTCCCTGTGTATTTATAAAAGGACTTTTTGCTGTCCTTGATCCTTGATGCAAGCCCTAGTTCCGTATCTGCCTTTAGCTTTCCTAACAGCCCTGCTACAGACCCGAGTGATGGAGGTATACTCCCCTTTGGTGATAGTCCCTCCCTTCCACTGGGTGGACACCTCCTTTCTGGCTTTCAGGTGTTCCTGAATGACTTTGGCGAGCCAGGGGGGCTTTTGAGCACTCTTGCCCCCTTTGATTCTCATTGGGACTATTGCCCCTTGTGCTCAGAGGATCGTCTCCTTAAGGACCAACCACTCATCTTGGACACCCAGTTCCCCTACCCTCCAGGACCCCAGTGCCCCTCCTACCAAGCTCCTCGACTCATTGAAGTTGGCCCTCTTGAAGTCAAGGGCTACTGCCTTGCTACAGGCCCTTGACGCACTGCGCTGGATGGTGAATTCCAGTAGGTGATGATCACTGTCACCCAGGGGGTCAAGAACCTGGAGTCCCCTCACCAGGTCATCACCTGTGGGCAGGACCAGGTCCAGCAGGGCATTCCCCCTGGTGGGACTGTGCACCTCATGGGTTAGGTGGAGGTCCTGTATCTTGGCAAGGAACTTTCGTGAGCGGTCAGACCAGTCAGTTCATGCCAATTATGTTGTCCTGCTTTTTCTACTCCATTTGCAGATGTGGAGGATCATTCAGATTCTTAGCTAATGTAAAATGTCATTGCTTCCTTAAAATTAGTGTACCACTATTTAAAAAACTGTAAATGGGCTGGCTCAGGTAACTAGGCTATATTTAGCCTGATACCAGTTCTGGGCAAAATCATGGAAAGCATGACATGAAGAACACTCAGACAGTCTATTCAACTTATTGTAGATAAGGCTGAGAGGTGACTATAAGATATTTTAGAGATTGAGGGGACTTTTCAGTCTTCCAGACCACGGCTTAATAAAATCTAAATAATGAAACAGAATGTTAAACAAATACAATCTTGAAATAAGATTAAATGTCCTGGCAGTTAGGTAATTAAACATGGGGCAAGTTTACCAGGAAGGGTGTCAGGTTTACCACTGCTTAGAGTTTTCGGCAAGTTTAGATATCCTTCTAGTGCTAGGTAAAAGTATCTAAATTAACTCAGGTACTCAAAGCAGTATAGTTAATACTGTTTTCCACTTGAGATAAGATACCCTGCTTTTCAACTGGGCTATCTAATCTAGGCAGAGTACTGTGCAAGCACAGGAAAATAAAATACAACATCATCTCCAGTAAGTATGCAGATGGGTAAGATGTTAGTAGGTTTGTAAATAATGATGAAGATAGATCAGTTGTTCATGTGGGATCATTTGAATAGCATGTGCTTTAACATAGTCAACACAATGGGAGTTTTGTCTGAGTAACTAAATAATGTTTTCAGGATTTAGTGTGTGTGTGTGTGTGTGTGTGTGTTTATAAATCCATGCTTTAATGCTGGGAAACATGTCAACCACTTCATAAAACGAATTACTTTAAAATGTACTCTTACTTTTTGCAAGTTAGCAGAATTTTCTTTTAAATCATATGATATAGTAGAGTTGTTGAATTTGTTTTGTGGATGCTGTGTATTGGGAAAAAATCAACAGTAATCAAGTATTTATATATTTTTAAAGCTTAAAAATATGAATTGCTTTGCTCTGAAAATACCGTTAATAGTTTTGTTTGTTTCTTTTTATTGTGAGATTGGGAGAAAAGCATAGGTGGGAGGGAGCTATTACCTTTTATAATATAAAAACAAGGTATACCATATAGAATATCTATGGGGTTGATGTTCATGGAGGGTGAAAATAGTTCATTGTGCAGGAGTCCAGCACAAGACTCTCTTCACATCACTTAACCCTAGCATAGAGTCTGTACAAAGCTACTGAAGATTGTGTGAGGATTGCTGATCTATTTTTAACTGGCACAGAAGGCTGAGGAGAAGTCACACAGAACTGGTAGCCACCAACATAGCAGACATTAAAGGACTGCATTTTTAGAAGTATGTTTTTAAATATCTGTCTCCCAGTGTGTTATGAGTGCTATTTCCTTTCAGAGACTGGGATATAAGGAAGAACTTCTTTACTGCCCGAGGCTATGAGGACTGCCACTGGAGGTGGTTCAAGCACCCACTTTGAATGCCTTCAAGACACATTTGGATGCTTATCTTGCTGGGATCCTATGATCCCTGCTGACTTCCTGCCCCTGGGGTAGGGGGCTGAACTCGATGATCCTGTGGGGTCCCTTCCAGTCTGAATGTCTATGAATCTGTGAATATGATCTTAAAAGTTCTCTGCCCCAACCCTATGCTGGAGGATGGATTTTACTCTGTGCATTCCTCCCACGTAGAAATTATTGGGGAATTAAGTAGGGGCAGTGGATTTTACAAAAGCAGAATAGATATTACATTTAAAGGCATTTCTCCATAAGCTTTTAATATCCTGTGTTCCCATTCTTTCATTGCAGATTTGGTTCTAAAGAGCTGAAACAAGAGTTCCTTGTACCAAGTATAGCTGGTGATGTCGTGGCTTGTTTGGGAGTCAGTGAAACTGGAGCAGGGTCAGATGTTGCAAGTAAGTATGCTTATTCTAAAATATACATTCTGAGCCAGCCTTACATGGCCCATTGGTTAAAGTGTTAGACTCTGGGTACACTAACAATTCCATTATTACTAACACCTAGTGATGGCATTGGTGAGAAATATGTGGAAAACCAACACGTGGACAGGGTCAGAAAGGACAAAACAAAATGATACTCAAAGATGTGATGCAGTGTTTCAACTTGAAGGGATCAAAATGCATTAATTCAGCTCTTGTAGGATTTCTAGTCATTGCCTGTGTATTAGACCCAGGGGAGCATATTAATCCTCAGTACAATCAGCTATCACTCACATGGAAGTCTGAGCCAAATTCAGCAGAGATGAAAATAGTAGTATAAATAATATTTAGATGAACTAGTCAGAAATAGCTGCTAATAATAAAATGGTGCCATTCAGAGGTGGGCAAAATGCGGCCCGTGGGCTGGATGCATCCCGCCAGGCCATTCTATCTGGCCCACAGGGCCCCACAAAATTTAGAAAATTAATATTTATCTTCCCCTGGCTGCCTGTCATGCGGCCCTCAATGGCTTGGCAAAACTCAGTAAGCGGACCTCCACCCAAAATAATTGCCCGCCCCTGGTGTAACTTGTCCTGTTTTGTCATTTAATGGGTGTGTGAAACAAGAGTGATTTATTTAGTAGTATAAGAGTGTTGTAGCCATATTGGTCCAGCAATTATATGAGAAGAAAGGATTTCATAGGGCGATGATATCTTTTATTGAACCAACTATTTAGTTAGGGTAAGAGTTAAACAAGCTTTTGAATGGAAGAATGTTTTGCATTCAAAAGCTTGCCTAACTATGCTAACCACTAGGTGGTCCAATAAAAAATATGACCCTAAGAAATCCTTACTTGTATCAGGGAGAGTAAAAGAAAATGCAGCTAACGAGATGAGCTAAGGCAGGGAAGTATCATTCTTAGCACTGATGAATTTGGCCCATTGTTTTTAAGAAGAGTATACAGTAGGACAGGAAGTCAGCTGGGGTCATAGGATCCTAGCAATATAGGCATCCAAGTGTTTCTTAAAGGTGTTCAGAGTAGGTGTTTATATATCACTATGCTGATCTTTTCTTCCGCTCCCTCTAGGATTTCAGTATGGTGTCTCCTTATGGTATATATCCTGTTGTGAATTGTACTGACTGCTATTGTGGGTCTCAGAACTGAGTTTTGTAAAGGCAGGGGAGACATTTTATATTTTTCACTGACCCTAGGGTTTGCTAGATTGTTTAACAGTTGTCTTTTCTCTTTACTAGTTGTACGTTTTCAGTTTCACTTTGCCAGCCTTCTCTATACTAGAGTATAAATAATAGGGCTGTGTGAAGCTTTGAGTGCTGATTCGATTTGGAGGAGATTCGTCCCGATTCAGTGGCTGAATCTCCAAAGTTGAATTGAATCAGGAGACCAATTTAAAGATCCAAATCAATTCAAAGCTCTCCGAATAGATTCGGAGAGCTTTGGAGATTCAGGCAGTTCTCGCGTGCTACCACAGGTAGCTGGACCCGGACTCCATGCTGGTTAGTAGGGGGTGGGGGAGGGGGGACTGGAGGAGATTGCAGGGGACCATGGTGGGGGGACCTCTTCCAGGCCCCATCCCCTAGCCCTGCCCCGCCCCGCTCCCCCTGCGTGCCCCCCCAGCCCCCCCTTCCCCCATAGCTTCCCTGCCTGTCCCCAGTTCCCAGCTCTTTAAAAAAAGCCCCTACTCACTGGCTGCTGCCAGCTGGGGGTTGGGCAATCCCTGCTGCCCCCCACTGCCCCACACTGTGTGGGGGGCTCTGTCACAAGCCCCCTGACCCCTGTCTGCTCTCCCAGCAACGCTGGGAGAGCCTGACCCCAGGTCCTGGTTCTTTACGGGCTTTTTTTTTTTAAAGTCACTGGCTGTTGCAGTGGCCTCAGGGCTTCTGGGGGCTTGTGGCAGAGCCCCCACACAGTGCAGGGCAGTTGGGAGCAGCAGGGATGGCCTCCCTGCCTAGCAGGAGCTGGTGAGTCAGGGCTTTTGCTTTTTTTTTTCCAAGAGTTTGGAGCTGGGGCCATGAGAGCGGGTGGGGGATGGGGGCTCATGACAAAGCCCTCCACGCAGCGTGGGGCAGCAGGGATCGCCCCCCCACCTGGCAGCAGACCATGAGTGCCGGGCTTTTTTTTTTCAAAGAGCCGGGAGCTGGGGCCGGGCGGGGCAGCCATTGACAGGGCTGGGAAAGTGGGCAGGGGATGGGGCCAATTTGGAGATTTGACAGCAACTGAATCTCTGAACCAGATTCAGCTGAATCGATTTTGGACACTGATTTGAATCACTGAATCGAATCGCTGGCCCCCGAATCGTCCAAATCCAAATCCAAAGTGAATACTAGCCGTTTTGCACAGGCTTAATAAATAAACATGTTTAAGGTATGCAGCATATCTGTTGTCTACATATACAAAAGTCCACATATGTAGCAAGGCACTATCAGTATTATTGATATTACAGGTCCTCAAAAGACATCTTGTCTCTGTTGTATCCTGAACTGGATCAGTGCATTGTTGGTTTACTAGTCCATATTGAAAAGCATTGGCAGTGTAGCATTTCATTACTTTCTTCCAGCATAATCTCACAACACCCCTGAAGCCCCTTTAAGTGTATGAGACTTTTGTTTTATAAGGTACATTGCATACAGTCTTAAACCTTTTCTTGTTTTGATACTTGGAAAGTCTATTAAAAATCTCAACTATATAAATTATCAAATGCCAGTATATAAACCAGTATGTATTTTGAATAATTCAATGGACATCATGGTCATTATATAAAAACAACTACACATATTACGTATCCAACCATGAATTAGTACTTCCACCACCCAATGCTGCAGGAACCTGAAGGAGAGGGACCAAAATGAATTGGTTCTAAGGAGCTGGAAGTAGTACTGTTTTTGGACACACTGAGCAAGCTTGCACAACTCAAGATGACTAGTTGGCACACCCAGTTCTGTTAAAATTTGTACTAATTCATCTGTTATTTTCTTATAAGACTAATGAGATTATATCGCTGATATTTCTCAACAAAACTTGAATGTTTAGCTTCTTGAATACTTACTTAATCTAAAATGGACTGCATTCTGATTTTTGTTTTCTAAAGACTAAGCTATGCCAACATTCTTAATCAATGTTAGCAGCAAGGATTTAATCAGAAAACAATAACATTAACAGAAGTGATATGTCTAAATTCATTTCTTACCAGTAAATTAGCTCAATTCTTAAGAAAAATCATTTCTACCATTTATAATTTTGTTTCCACTGTAACAAGAAAAATATCTTGAAGTTTGTCAGTAAAAGAAATTCACCACCAATGCTTTTCTAATTTAGAAAGCTTTGATATTTATTTAATTAAATAAATATGCTTTAATTTTGAAGTGCAGTGTTGCAGATTGTTAGACATGCAAATACTCGTAGATGCATGCTGTTTATCATTTAAGTTATTGGTATGAATCTCATGGCTTACTAGAGTTAACAGATCACCTCTTTAGGAAGATATATATTATTTTGTTTATCTTTGGGGGAAAAAGGAGCAATCCATACAACTGAGGAAGGGAACATGGTGTGCTAATCACCAGTCAGAAAAGACAGCTTGAACCATATAAAGCTATTCTAATTCACTAGCTATGGGGCAGGCAATTATTTCAGGCAAAGGTCCACTTACTGAGTTTTGGCAAGCCATCAAGGGCTGCAAGGGTAGCCCTGCTCCTTGACAGGTGCCTCCCCCTGCTCGAAATTTTGGGACCTGAAGTCCCACCCCTAGCTCCTGACCTTTGCCACCAGAAATCTTGCCCCTTCCCGGCTCCCCCCCCGAAGTACTCCTTTCAGCAAGGTTTTGCCATCTCGGAACCAGAAAAAGACTAAATTGTTTTGTAAAAATCAAACATTTACTACAACATTCATTAGTTTGATGTCAAAAAACATTTTTGTCCTGATTTACATGTGTTTATGTAGTGTACATAGAGGTGATTGCACAATAGCTTAAAATGAAGCCTTACTCTTGTATATTGTGGAGGGGTGTGGGTATGAGGTTTGTGGGGGGCTGTGAGTGTGTGGGGGGAGGGTGGCTGGGGAGGGTTGTGGCATGTGTGGAGGAGGAGGATTTGCCCACAGCCTCCCTGTGGCAGGCAAAGCCCCCTGCAGCGCTCCTGCCAGCCCAGGTTCCATGCTTCTGCTGCTCCTGTCCCCGAGGCACTGGCATGGCCCCATGCTTCCAGTTGCAGCCACTTCCCCTGTCTGCCACCACTGCCCTTCTGCCTCTTCCCCGTTCCCCGCCCCACAGCTTGCTGCTCCAGCACCATGTCCCAGCTGCATGGCTGAGACTGCAAGACTCAGCAAGAGCTGGACAGGCCTGGCCGATATTAAATGGAGCCAGCTGAGAATCGCAGGGGCTGGGCCAGCTGCTGTTGCGTCCTGTGACCTGGTGCTGCAGCTGGGAAACGCACGGTGCCAGAGCAGCTGGTGGGTGTGCTAGAAGGGAGCGGTGGCAGCGGCAGGCAAATGGCTTTGACAGGTAGAGGGCAGTGACTGCGTGTGGAGTGCAGCGACATCTGGGCCGGAGCACAGGACCCACACCGGGGCCAGCACCAGCAGAGTCCAGAGCGGGGCAGCGGGAGCACAGGGCGGAGGCCAGCAGGGCTCTATGGAGCCAGGCCAGGCTGTGCCAGCAAGGAGAGAGGAGAGTCAGTCTTGCTCCAGAGCCCCTGCCAGCCTGGCCCTGTGCTCCTGCTGCCCTGCTCTGGGCCCCTGCTGGCCCTGGCCCTGGCGCACTGGCATGTGCCCTGCACTCCCACCCAGCTGTCACTGAGCTCTATATGCCTGCTCGCTCCCCCTTCTCCAACCTACTGCCACTTTCACCACTACCCTGCCCATGGCTACCACTGTTCCTTTCCACCCCTCCTTCCCAGCCCGGCTAGCCTCTCAGGCACCATGTGATTTCTGGCTACGGTGCTGGGACCGCAGCAGCCAGTGCGGCCCAACCCTGAGGACTGGGGTGATTGCCTGCGGTCCTTTCCTGCCTCCTCCCTCTCCCCCTTCATATCTGAATTTCCCTCCAGTGCAGGGAGGCAGGAACAGCCCCACAGTCCCAGAACCCATTTTCGGCACGTGGCTTCCTGCTGTGGGGCGGGGGGCGGGGCCGTGCAGGCCTTGCTTCTGTACCTACTTGGTCCTGCAGCGGCATCCCCTGGGTCTGACTGCTCCTGGCTCCTATCATCTTTGACAGGCAGCTAGAGGCAGAATAATATTAATTTTCTAAACTTTTTAGGGGCCCCGCGGGCTGGATGTAATGGCCTGGAGGGCCAGATGTGGCCCGTGGGCCATATTTTGCCCTCCCCTGCACTTAGATGATTCCTATTTTTTTTTATTTTTTGTTTGCTATTCATCTTCTCTTTTCTAGATTCTGTAGAGCAGAACAGTCATTCAGATGTAGAGCCTGTATAACATGCTCCAACTGTGATATCTAATCTTTTCTAACCTGAAGCTTGATGTTAACTAGGACTCTTGAAAAATTAATAGTATCTTTAGCATTTGTATTTGCTCATTCCAGTTTTTTCTTAGAAAAATATTAGTCAGTGACATGAACAAGGAAAAGATGATGATGATTACAGTACTAATGATAATGATGATATGTGAAAAAATAAACAAGTAATTGAAAGGACATAACATGTTTCCCAAATATAATTGTAAAATTTCAAGAAACTAAATAAGAGATTGAGACTCTTGGACTCCAATGCAAATGTCAAATTTAGGAACTCTTAAACGGGAAAATCCTTTGCTTCACAGTCACTTAGAAATATGGTCTTGCTGAGCAAACAAGTCATCTAAGCTCCCAGGTTCTGTTAGTAAAAAGAAAGAGAATCAATTTCAGTGCAAGACCAGCACACAGGGTAGGTTGTGGAGAAAATAACAAAGAAAAGGATAGGATAATGCAACTACTGTTTTCTGTTTCAGTTTCAGTTGCCAAGGTACTGCAGGATATGCACATGGTCTACAGTGCAGTTAATCACCTTTGCATCCCACTTTTATTCCCCAGACTACGGTAATCATTTGGCTACATGGTTATAGGACGTAGGACTGAAAGAAACTTCTGGGTTATCAAGTCCAGTTCCCTGCTATTGCAGGCACCAACATCCCTTTCATAGGGTTACCATATTTCCAGGGTCAAAAAAAGAGAACACCTGTAAGGGGGAGGGACAGGTGTGGGGGGGGGGGGGGAGAGGTATACGATTGTGGGTAGGGGACAGTGATATGCCTGTTCCCTGCTTCTGCCCCTCCCGACCCACAGCCCTGCCCCCCCAGCCCTGCCATTGCCCTTGACTCCCAACCTGCAGCCCCTTGTCCCCCAGCCCTGCCAGTGTACTCACTCCTGACCTGCAGCCCTGCCCTCCCCCAGCGCTGCTGGTGCCCCTCACTCCCGACCTGCAGCCCTGCCCCCCCAGCCCTGTCAGTGCCCCTCACTCCCGACCTCCTGACCCCACAGCCCTGCTGCCCACACAGCTCCAGCGCACATGCATTCCCCCCCACACACACTTATTTGCTGGGGCCCACATAGTTCAGAGCATGTGACCCTCGACAGCCAACCACCTTGCCTGCTGCTCCCGGCACCAAGTATCCAAGCTGCTGGTGCCCAGGGAAAGCAGAGGCAAAGCAAAAACCCAGACATTTGCTCATGTTTTAAAAACCTGCCTGGACATGAGGCCGGGGGGCAAAAAAGAGGAAATGTCTGCGAAAACCCAGACATATGGTAACCCTACAAGTTTCAGAAAGTGACCAAGGTCTGTCTTTAAACAGCTAGGATTCTTTTTCCCCATTGCTTGTATTGGGAGGCAGTTTCAGATCCTTATTTCACTGAAGGTTTGAAGCCTTTCTTTAATTTCCAGTCTGAGCTGGTGATGGCCCAGTTATACAAAAAAACTAGCATATACATGTGGGCAGTTTTTGATGATCCAGCAACACAATTATGAAAGTTGTTTGTGTAGGGGAGGTGGGGAGAGGAGGAGGAAGTGGAGTGGAAACTGGTCCTCTATTTATAACTTTCTTCCTTTTGTTTATTGCTTGAAGGGCATGAGGATTTTGAATACTGAGTGAATGTTAGCTGGTCTGTCAGATATGACCTGTGGACTGACTCTTAACAGTCACCCTAAGTTCATCTGATCAACCAACCCTTATTGTTTTTAAATAGGTATCCAGACACGAGCAGTAAGAAAAGGTGATGATTATGTCATAAATGGAGGCAAGATGTGGACTACTACTGGGTGTCAAGCTGACTGGATGTGTCTATTGGCAAATACTAGTGAAGGACCACCCCACCAAAATAAATCTCTCATATGTTTGCCAATGAAGTTATCTGGTAAAAGAACTCGATTATTTTTCTTATTGTTTATGTTTTAGTGCTTTTTACCATATGTGATAGCACATAAAAACCTGGTGGAGAAAGAATAATGCAGCTTCAAATGCTTCCTACATGTGTTGTTAAACAGAGTAGCTCTGTAACACCAAACTGTTAAATGAGATGTACTCAAAAGGAATCCAGAAGTCCTGGAATAGAGGGGAAAACAGGAAGAGACAAAAGGAGGAAATTAAATACTTTGCAGACTTCAGCTTCTGGTCCCAAGGGTCTTTTGTTAAAAATTATTTCTGTCCAGAAGTTTTAAAAAGTTTATCAAAATGTATTTATTTATAACCTCTGTGGGAATAGATAAAACAAGGAACTGCGAAGGGCAAAATTAATAGTGTACAAAAGCATAATTAAAAACAGAGCAAAGCAGCATTCTGAAGAAGTAATATCAGCATGTCCCATGTCTTGGTTCTGGAGATGATCCACAGAACATTTATCTTGAAAGCTTTCTTCTCCCAAGAGATACTTAGCTACATCCAGCCCTTAAATGCATCATGTATGATTTCATCTTTATTATTCATAGGGTTTTGCTGGGTATAAATTGTGAAGTATGTTCACAATTTATAAAATGCTGTTTCTTATGAACTAGAATTAGTGTACAGAATATATATGTGATAGATTCAGTAATATAAAGCAAATAAGCAAACAAGCAGAAACTATTCAGTCAGAGTTAAGGTCGCTCCATCCTATTTTGTGCCTTGCCAGAATATAGATTCATAGATTCATAGATGTTAGGGTCGGAAGGGACCTCAATAGATCATTGAGTCCAACCCCCTGCATAGGCAGGAAAGAGGGCTGGGTCTATGAAGTGCTGTGATACTCAAACTTCTGAAAATCAGAAAATAAGATTTTACCTCAGCAAAAAGGTGTGAGAATCAATGCACTCTATGTCCTGAGAGATGGCACTGTCTGTTAAGACGGAGTTTACATGTGCAATGGATAGGATGACCATATGAGACAATGTGAAATCTGGGACACTTAAAAACTTTCATACTGGAGGTGTTTTGTGATCATAACATCTGATGAAGAAGACTGTTGCCTGTGAAAGCTTATGCCTCTGTGAACCAATTAGTCTCTAAGGTGCAATCCTACCCTGCCTTCTGCTTAACTTCAGCCCAACAAACTAAACACCACTCTCTAGAAAACAATGAGTTGAGGTATTCCAAACTTAAACTTCTGATAGGAAACACACAGTAAAGGAATATGCCAATGTAAAGGAACACGCAACCTTAACATTGACATCTTTGTGTGATGACCCACTACATTCACAGCTAGGGTAGCCATATGTCCTGGTTTAGCTGAGAGAGTCCTGGATTTTGGAGGCCAGTCCCGGTCTGCTGGTGAAAATTAAAACAAGTCCTGGGTGCAGAGTGCAGAGAGGGAAGGTGGAGCAGCACAAGCTGTGAAACAGGAAGCCCTAGCAGACAGCAAAACTGCCCTAAAATAAGTTCACTTGATTAGTGGAATCACCATTAAAAAAGGGTGCCTGTCACCATTTTCTGCTTTTAAGAGATGTGATTGTTGTTGACTTCAACATTTCCTTTTTGGAAAAGCACAAGGAATACTTGGCAACCTTATCTTTGTGTTAATAAATCTCTTAGTATGTTTTAACAGCAAAATAATTGTTTTAGGAATGAATGGTCAGTCAAGCAGCTGTAGTTATCAATTGGGTTTGAAGCTGAGGTCAAAATGGGTCTAGATTAATAATTATATAAAAGTATGTAAGCTCTTGTATGGCCTTTTGTTCAGAAAAATCTCAAAGTGCTTTACCAACTAGGTAAACATCATTATCACCATTTTGCAAATGGACAAACTGAGGCACCAAGAGATGAAGTGACATGGGCAGGATCACTGAGCAGGCCAGTGGCAAAGCCAGCAGTAGTAACTAGATAGTCTGAATCTTGCTCCACTGTTCTATTAGGCCACCCTATAAATATGACCTGAATGTCTGTCCCACCTCTCTGGTAGCCTCTGTTGGCTGGTTCTGTCCTTGTATCTAGATCCAGCTCATACCTGAGGATCTGTGCTCCCCTTGGGCACTTCCCCTTTAAGGGACCAGCCCCTCAGACCGCCAAGCACTTGTCAGGGCTTCAGCAGTTTCAGTCTTGGTCCCTTTTTTCTATGGCCAAATCCTCAGCCTGCGTCATCTGTCTAAAACCTCAGCTCCCAGGCATCAGTTCAGACTTGGCTGCAGTCCCTCCTGGGGCTCCAGCTTCACTCCTCCAGCCTCAGCAATTTTGGTCTAGCTCAGGGGTGGGGAAAATACATCCTGTGGGCTGGATCCGGCTGCCAACTGATTGAATCTGGCCCATAAGCAGGTGCACACCAAGTGAATGGATCTAGCCCTCTGGTTCTGGCAGCTGTGTGGTGCTGGGACACTGGGGCTGCTTCCAGCATGTCAGGTGCTTGCTTGCTCACTTTTTCTCCCTCTCTCTCTTGGGTCAGGGCTGCCACCAGCATGGAAGCAGAAGCATGAACCTGACTGCAGCTGTAGCACACCCTGCCACTGTCCTCCCCCTCACTGCTCCCAAGTCTGGACCCAGCAGTTGTCAGTCACATCCACATCTGCCCAAATGTGGCTGGCAGCTTCTGAGTCAGGGCTCCAGGGACAGGGGCAAGCATACTACAGCTGCAAGTGAGTTCAGGCTTTCATGCTGGTTGCATCTCACAGCTATAGCACATTGCACTACTCCCAACATCTGGAACCCTGATTTAGAAGCTGCCTGCCACATTTGGGCAGCTGTGGATGCAGCCAGCAGCTGCCAGGAATATGACTCAGAATGGCTACGAATGGGTTCAGGCGTCTCTGCTGATTGCAGCCCCAGGAGGGAGGGATGGGGAGAGGGAGTGGGAGACAGAGGAAAAGAGAGAGAGGTGTGGCCCTTGACAGGTCACCAAAGCTCATTAAGTGGCTTGCCAGCCCAAATAATTGCCCACCCCAGTCTAACTCCTGATAGTGGGGAGTGCCTCTCAGGCACCCCATTCATGGTCTCCTCCTCCCCAGCTTGCCACCATGTTGGTCCTAGAATCCCCTGCCCTCATTACATGGTCCCTGACATCAGGTCTGCCCCTCCACAGGGCCTGCCCTCATGGTGCATGGCCTGCCCCTGGCGCCCCAAAAGTTCTGTCCTCTAGGTCACGAGGCACAAGCTTGACCTGTCGGGTAGCAAATGATTGTGATCCCTCTAACAACCTGTCCCATCTTTCTGAACCAGTCAGTGGGAGTTTCAGGTGTTAGACCTCCCCAAGAATAGCACCAAACCAAATGAGTTGAGTCGAGGGCCTCACACAAAATATTTCAGGAGAAATCATTTTAACAAAGTATAGACAAAAAATCATATACTTAAAAGCAAACATCCACTATAACATATTTTAATTTTATTTTTAAAAATATTTGGGTCCTAATTTATGTGTGTTTGCATAATAGCTTAAAATAAAATCTTAGACTTGTATATTGTGTGTGAGGGGGTAGGGAGGTGTATGTGGTGGAGATGTGGGGGAGTGCGTGGTTGGGGGATGGGTGTGTGTGTGGTGGGGTGTGTGGGTATGGGGTGTATGGTTGGTGGGTGGGGGTGTGTGTGTGTGTGTGTGTGTGTGTGTGTGTGGTGGGTTGGGTATGCACATGTAGGGGGTTGACCAAGCATTGGGTCCTGGGAGGTGGCCGGGGGGAGGAGGGGCATGTGCAGCAGAGCTTGCCCGGGTGGTGCAGGTGCAGTCTGCTTCACTCACCACCCTCTAGCCCATGGTGCTCTATGGCGCTCCAGATGGGGCCAAGACCTGCCCACTTCCACCTGAGGTAGCCCACCCCATGCTCCCACCTGTACCTGCCCTGTGCTCCTCCTGCACTCGCCTCAGCCCTGGCCAGCATGCATAGCTTCGTGGCGAGGCTGCCTTTTACCTGCGCAGCTGCCCATAGGTGGCTGCTGATCGCACTGGGCAAACGGAGTGAGTGGATGGCAGCCTGGAGCTGGAGCTGGAGCCCCTGGCTGCAGCTTCCCCCCCCACCTCCCCCCCACCTGCTGCCGTTTTCCCTTCACCCACCGATGCTTCCCCTCCTACCTGCTGCCCGGATCACTGCAGCAGGGACAGGAGGAGAAGCAGCTGGAGGCGAGGGAGCTGCACAGTTCCAGCTGGAGCCCGTCCTGGGAGCCGCACCTGGTGGCACAGTGCAAGATGGGCCGGCCCAACACTGTCACCTCTAGCTCCTTTCCAAGTCCCAGGAGCCACATGTGACAGCAGAGAGTGAACCAGGCCAGCCCACCTCTGTTACCCACAGCTCTCTGTGGCTCCCAGCTGGAGTCCCAGGAGCTGCACATGTAGTTAAATTTACTGTTCTGTACACACTTAGCATACACAGAAGAGTATTATTCAATAGTATAAGGTATTGTTGCACATTTGTACCACATATTACAGAATGAAGGCATACAAGAAATTGTGTTTTAAGTACGTAGTAATCATACAGTAGGAAAGTTGAAAATTTTGTCTGAACCTTTTCTGAATCCTATCATTTTGTTCATATTATGTTTTTATTTGTTGTATAATGTAATAAGTATGCCATGTTATAGAGCATGCATGTCAAATGTATGACTTATGAGCTGGATCTTGCCCACAGTCAGTTTACATACAGGCTTTCAGAAGTTGGGGACATGGCTGTGGGGAGTGGCCTACTTGGGAATCTAGGGCTCTCAGGCCCCTGTGGACATTGTGATCAGGAGAGTGAATGAGGGATAATACAGCCTTGGTCACTCTATGGTTGCCTTGCCTGTTGTCACTGCCATGGTCCTATGTTCTCTGCTGCTGGCCCCAGCACTGCCTCGTATTAGAGCCACTGCCACTGCTGCATGCCCCGTAGCTGCCATAGCATGGGGACATGCCAACAGCGGCAGCTTCAGCACAGGGCACATGGCAGAAGCTGAAGCTGAGTTGCATCGCTCGAGCTGCCTCTGCCATTA